TGGTGGTGGTGGTGGTGGTGGTCGTAGTAGTAGTTGTTGTTGTGGTGTGTTGTTTGTTGTTCGTTGTCGTCTGTTGGATTAAGACATGTTCCTTCGTCGTTCCATAATGGGTTCCATGCATCGTTCCTGCAACACAATTTATTCCAAATAATATGGAACATGTTGTTAATGTCCAGTTTATCATCTCTGTTTAAATGCTTTAACAGCAGTGGACTCAGTATGATGGTTTAGATGGGCATGTGCAGCATGAGGGCTAGAGCAACGATAGTTCCCTTCTCCTGCAGGTGCTTCTTCCACAAGAACGCTGAGTCTATGGATAGGTTGGAAATGGGAAACTCCTGTGACTTGGGAAGTTTCCATCAGTGCCCTGGTCAGAATTGAATACATATATATATATATTTTTGCTCTAACTCTCTCTCTCTCTCTCTGCTTTTCCTCATCAAAAGAGCGCACCATGATAACAACATGCATTTCTGCATGTGTTTTATGTTAAAACCCACTGCAGAACAAACCCAACTTCCTCCCTTCCATGCTCCGCCCGAAGAGCCGAGAGCCTCAGAGCCAAACCACGGACCGCGCCTCAGGAGCTTCCAACTGCGCCACAAGAAGGTCGTCAAAGCCACGAGGCCCAGCAAGGCGCCCAGGGAGGCCGCCCAGTTACCGGACATCCAATGAGGGACGAATGGCAAGTGAAAGGGGGGACCTGTTGAGGTCCCCCCCTGTCAGCCCCTCAAGGTCTGTTTGTGTGTGTATGTGTTGTTTTCTAGGGAAATCATCATGGATCGAGCCATGGATTGCACATGATTGCATCATGGATATCGTCACCCTGGCAGTTTTCCCATTCGCAGCTCTAAAGGGTATTTGGTTTTAGAATGATTAGAATGTTTTAGATTGTTTTAGGTTGTTTCGCTCAAGAGCACTTGTTGGGGGTTGAGACATGTGAAGCATCCAAACATCCTGAGTGTATCTCGGCCTGAAGAATTCCTTTAAAGCATTTTGCGAAGCACTAAACAAGACAATTTCGAGATTGACCGTTGCATTGGAATCTGCAACATTCATGTCCTTGGCTTAAACCACACATTTCCGGTCGAATCCTGTGCCTCCAGTGACTGTGTCTCGCAGAAAGTGGACTTCTTGGAGGGATCACCCCAAAAAATTGTTGCAATCATACTGTCATGTCTGTGTGGACATAAACCCGATGCATATCAACGGGAGCTATTTCGAGGGGTGTCTCTTGTGCATGTCCTTGTTGTAGAGCAAAGGTCTGAGCCTGAGCCAAATGAAATGGCGGCATGCGCCAAGAGCCAAGAACATGATAGAATAGACACAACCTGAACTGTTCTGCGCACCCCGATCTCTTTTGGCAAAGCATGTCAGTCAATTTGTTGACAATCTTGCAACAGTCCTACCCTCAAAGGAATAGGGATGGATCAGCTCAATAGTTTGTGCGGCGTGAGCCTTGCGTGATCAGCTCAACTGGTCTCTTTTAAACTTACTTCGCAGGCTCATCAGGAGGAAATCGATCTTGCACTCTTTGAATCAGCTCAGATGTTGACAAACCTTCAAAACGGGGCAACGGGACAGCGATGCCCATCTTTCGTGGGACTTTGTAGTATGGATCATCATCAGGATTTGGATATCGATCAAAGTACTCCTGGCCCACAGCACAAACATGAATATCGTGCTCCTTCAGAAACTCTTCCGTCATACCAAAACACAAAGCATTGGGTATTACCCTGTCCACGTCTTTGCACCCAAGCACCTGAGCCTCCCTCTCGGCTGCTGTCATGATTGGCGGACGCTTGTAGCTGTTTGCATCCTTGTCTCCAACAACTCCCACAAACACGTGGGTGCCAAGCTTGGAGGCATTGCGGAACAGATTCTGGTGGCCAATGTGGCACATGTCAAAAATGCCGTCGCAGTAAACATTCTTTCGTGGCTCACTCAGGCATTCTTTTCTGTGGTAGTCATCTGACGCCCGCGTGCCCAATGCATCTCCTGTGGGTGAAGGTAAACTGCTTACAGTCCAGTCTGGTGATGCTCTTTCTCGAATCCTCCGTATGAGATCAGACGTTGACAAACCTTCAAAACGGGGCAACGGGACAGCGATGCCCATCTTTCGTGGGACTTTGTAGTATGGATCATCATCAGGATTTGGATATCGATCAAAGTACTCCTGGCCCACAGCACAAACATGAATATCGTGCTCCTTCAGAAACTCTTCCGTCATACCAAAACACAAAGCATTGGGTATTACCCTGTCCACGTGTTTGCACCCAAGCACCTGAGCCTCTCTCTCGGCTGCTGTCATGATTGGCGGACGCTTGTAGCTGTTTGCATCCTTGTCTCCAACAACTCCCACCCACACGTGGGTGCCAAGCTTGGAGGCATTGCGGAACAGATTCTGGTGGCCAATGTGGCACAAGTCGAAAATCCCATCGCAGTAGACATTCTTCTGGGCTCCACCTGCGTCAAGTGACTCTCAGATCTACAATCTGTACTCTTAAACCTTCTGATGCATATGCATGACTATGCAGCGCAATGCATCGTGGCATGTCAGGATGACATCATGCTTGCAAACCTGTTTCAGGTGTCATGTTGGTACAGCAATGCAACGATCTGGATGGGCCCACAAAAAAAAAGCATATCGATCACCCCAGTGGTTTGAACAGCGGAGAGAAGACTCTCATTTGATCACATTTTAGATCTCATTCAGCACGTTTTTTCCAAGCAAAAATGCAAAGCTCGTTGGCTTTGACACCATCAGCTAGGTCAGTGTCCAAGACAAAATGCTCGGGTTCCAATCACATTGGGTTCCTTTTTGCTTGGGTTCCAAACAAATCTGACAAAAAACACATCGCAAGCTGTCATGCCTTTGCTGTCGGCCATCGGAAGCCAGGATTTGGAGCTCCAAACGCTGGCGGCAGCGTTAGAATGCCAACTAAGTTTCAGGCAAGTGCTGCAATCAGTTGGGGTATGACGGTATGACATGATGGATGCAGTGTTAGCACTACGTGTGTTTGCACGCTTCAAGGTTGTGAGTTGCGAAATCGGCTTTCTGCTGGAGCTGTCCTCCCTCATAATTGACATGATTTGTTAACTTGGCTTGAATATCTGACTGAACATCTGAACCCTTTGGTGGGCCGGAAGCAAAACCCACTGCACAGGTGAGAGGAATCCAACATCGAACGAAGGATCACCTAAAATGCAACAGCTTGATCATGCGACCACCCTTCTCAACTTACCCTCTGCGGCTCTAGTCAGCTCTAAACTGAATTCACACTCAGAATGGTGCAACCATGTGGAACCTTACCGGATTCCCTGAGTCGCATCGCCGGCTCGGATTCTCTTTCAGGATGCCACTGGGTTCGGAGCCCAGTGGCAAAACACCGCAAAAACGCAGCAAAACCACATGGAGTCGAGCCATGGCCCAACCCAAGTCGAGCCATGGCCCAAACATGTTTCTGTAAAATCTATGTCCACAGCCCCTATAATTCTGCGCGATCTTGAAAGAACAACCTTGTTGTCTGCCATGTTCTCGAAGGCACTGCAACGCTCCTTTTACGGGGCGCTCAAAGTAAATCCAGAAGCTCCACCAACCTGCGCTTCAGGCACGGTACAGGGCTGAATTGGTATTGTTGTTTGTTTGCGTGTGTTTTTTCAATTATAACATGGACAGAAGTAGAACAATGTGCAAATATTGCGCTAAGTCAACACGTGCCCCAACTTCAAGCAATGCCTCTGCTCGATCTGAAACAGAATATTTGGGAAGAACAGTACTGCTAGGCCCTTTCCATTTGCTTCAAGAACCGTTTTGAATGACAATAGGTCGTGCTACCCGAGCCACTTTCCACTGTGATTTTCAGTCGGCCTTTGACGAGGAGTGGCTGAGAGTGACGTTGCCTCAACGAAAGGTTTGATGTCTTGGACCTGTTTTTGGCGAACAAAGGGTTTTCGGGCTACCTGTTCTTTCGTCGGCCTTCTAGTTTGTCCCAAAAAGATCCAAGCAAGAATCTATGAGGTCTGATGTTGTAGGGCAAACCATGAGTGCCAATGACACTAGAAGGTTACCTTGATGGGCAGGACAATCAAGATCAGCATTCAGATGAGCACCAAGGCAGACATACGCCGAATCCAAAAAAGGCTTCGCTGGAACAAGAACCAACAAAGCAAAACAAGGGAAGCACATACTGTCACATACTCTGTTGGCCGCTTGGCTTCCACGCCCATCGGCATTTGGGCGGCACATGCGGTGCCTCGTCAGCACCTTAGGTCAGGGGGCGCCGGGGTTCTGGACATGTCATCCTTCCAATTGAGTTCCAGACTCAATAGTCGCACCAGCTCCTTTGGCTGCCTGGTCAGCATTGAAAATGTTGCTGTGCTTTAAACAACCTGCAGGGTCCTTCGATGTGGTCAAACAATGGCTTGCAAAGGCTGGCTTGAACCGCAAGTGTGTGTGTGTGTGTGTGCACCTGTGGGCGGTGAATTAAAAACATAAAACAACAAACAACTGACGCATGTAAAGCTACCGTCTAACACTAGCATCACTGACATCACTTTCTGGGTATCACTAGAAACAGAGCGTCTGCATGGCCTCTCTCAGTTCAGGTTGCGGTTAGCGAGTTCGGGTATCCAAGTTGTTTGAAATTGAGTCCTTCACGCAGCCTGCAAAATATCAGCTCAAAACCAGAAGCAACTCTTGTTCAGCTGCTGAGAAAAGGACAGCCATCCTAGAACGGCATTACTACGAACAAATAGACCTTTGCCGAGGCTGGTGGTACCATGCACTCTGGTTGGGGGACCTCCACTACTGCACTCTGGTTGGGGGATCCAGTAGGAGAAGGCAACAACCCCGGGCCTTCTCGCCATCTGCGGGGATAACAACACTTCTACCTCCATCTGCAACAGGTTCAGCTGGTCAGCTACAGTGATGATGGCCTGATGGAACGACCATAAAACAGACGAGGGTTGGATGCTTCGAGAACTTCCTGCAAAAAATCCGTGGCGACCATCAGCCTCTGGATGTCCCCACAGCTCGAAAATGTGCAGTGAGGATCCACTGGGGTCTCCCCAGAGATACCTGGAGGACTCAAGTGCAGCCAAGAAATGCCAACCACCAAGCTTTGACTTCCAGTGGCTTACAGAAGTGTGCCGTCATGGCTAGAACTGAATTCAAGCAACACCATCTGTAGCTCCGATCACAAAGCTGTTCCTCTTCTTCTTTCTATCTCTGCCTTCGAAGGGTGATGCCCTGCTCCTGGGAACACCATGTCATTGTAGCTTGGACTTCAGAAAAACATCGGTCCAAGCTACATAAGTCATAAGCCGATCATTCAGTTGACCAGGCTCTACAGTCCTCTAAGGCTGGATAGAAAAGTGACTGCCGCAAGTAGTTCCGGGCAGGTCTTGCCTGGTGTCGCTTTCATCCAAAACGGCGCAAGCCCTTTCATGCAGAATTTATCTGTCTTCCACTGGACCCTACATCTCCGAAGCATCGCAAATTTGCAAAGTTGGAGTCACAGACTTGTCCGCGCAGAGGTGAGTGTGGGAGAGAGTGAGGGTGAGAGTGGGAGGGAGTGTGAGTGTGAGTGAGGTGGGAGTGTGGGTGGGAGTGTGGGCGCGAGTGAGTGTGAGTGAGAGTGAGTGTCACTCACCCCTCAATGTGTAG